GCTGGGGATTTAGCTCAGCGGCAAAGCGCCTGCCTGGCAAGCGCAAGGTCGTGAGTTCGGTTCCTGGTACCGGAGAAAAACCAAAAACCAAAAAATAAATAAATAAATAAATAAATAAAAAATCCCATTGTAAAAACAGAAAAAGAAAAAAGAAAATGAAAAATAATACAAAAGAAATAATGCTAATAAATCCCCATCGTATGAACAAGCTAACAGAGGCTCAGTCAAGTAACTTGGCCACAGTTCAATCTCACAGCTGGTGAGCAGCAGAGAGAGCTGGGACCCACCCAACCACACCTCCTGAACGTTACCACGGCATAGGCCTCCCGGAGCCTCCCAAACCTCCTGGCCCAGCACCATGCACGCGATAAGTCACTTACGAGGGGTGCTTCATGGCTTCTAGGATCTCTACCAGGGTGGAGGATGATGTCAAGGAACTCACTGCCTGCTGCTGAGAGCTGTAGTACAGAGTGTAACAAAGCAAGAGGTCACACACATGGTCAAGAGCACAAACATTAGGAACACTCTATGTTTTATGAAGACAGAAACCAGGATACGATGGACACTATTTTTTTTTTGTTTTAGAATTTATCTCACACTGATCCTTGATAAAGGAATCTCAAGAATGTGCTGTATTATTTTTGTTTTTTGTGGGTACTAGGATTTGAACTGAGGACCTAGGGCTTGCTAGGCAGGTGTTGTGCGACTGAGCTATACCCCCGGGGCCTATGGACATTATTGATACTGAAGGCATTCTAAAAACAAATTTGGGAATTGACATCCTGGGGGTTCCCTATTTCTAAAATATATGTGAGACTTGGGAGGCTGAGGCAAGAGGATCGTTCCAAGTTCGAGGCCAGCCTGGGCTACTAAGTGAGCTCAAGGCCAGCCTGAACTGCATAGCAAGACTTTGTCTCAAAAAGACCAAGAAAAATAAAATAAAATATATGTGAGAAAGAGAGAGAGAGAGGAATGGAGAGAGTGGAGAGGGAAGGAGGGAGGAGGGACAAGAGAGAGGGAAGAAAGAAGAAGAAAGAAAAGAAAGAAAAAAGTAAAGAAACAAAGAAAAGGAGGGAGGGAAGGAAGGAAAGAGGGAGGGAAGAAGGAAGGAAGGAAGGAAGGAAGGAAGGAAGGAAGGAAGGAAGGAAGCAAGGAAGGGATGATATATGTGGGATATATGTGAATTTTATGTCATTTTATACAAGGGACTTGAGCATATGCAAATTTTGGTATCCACCAGTGCCCTGGAACCAATTCATAGATACTGAGCGGCAACTGTGCTGTTTGCATGGGTGCAGAGAGAAGGAGAGGGAGAGAAAGGGGGGAGGGAAGAGGAAGGAAGGGAGGGAAGGAGGGAAGAAGAGAGGAAGGGAGAAGGAAGGGAAGGGAAAAGAAGGAAGGGAGGGAGGAAGGGAGGGGAGGAACGGGGAGGAGAGAAGAAAAAAAAAGCTGGACATAGTAGTGCATGCTTGAAATCCAAGTACTGGGGCAGCTGAGGCAGAAGGATCGTGAGTTTGAGGCCAGCTTTAGAACCTATCTCAAAAAAACACAAAATTCTAAGTGGACTTGCGTCTAAACACAGCCATCCACAACAAGCGCTTCTTCTTTTAGCATTATGCTTTAGGCCCAGCCATTTTCAAGTCATTCCTTGGGCCACTGTGGGTTTTCCCCAAAGGCTTTCCCATGTCACTGTTTAATCTTGAGCAGAGAGCACTGGATAATCATAGTCAGAGTCTGGGGGACAGAATTCCAGTATCATCACTAACCAGCTATAGCACCTCTGGCATTTCTTGGCCTTAGTTTCCTCATCTGAAAAACGGATGAGACTATTAGTTTTTCAGGGTAGTTGTAAGGCATAATGCTGAGGACAGGACTGATAATACATGAACCCCCAAATGGTAAACAATACTAAACATATTAACAGTAACTCTGACTCTATGAAACTCAGATTGGTTAAAAGAATTGGTGAAGGTCAAAGGGCTGGCAGGTATCAGGGTCTGGATTTGAATCCAGATCAGCCATATACCAAAGCCCAGATCTTTCTCTATGACCTGCTACCCAAGTTCTTTGACAGTAAGACAGTCCCTTAAAACATGCTTAATACTCAGCAGCTTAGCGGCCACCCGCCACACCAAATTGGGCCAATTCTGGGGGTTATTCAGAAGCTTTTTCAAACTTCTTAAACCTCTTTCTTGCCTCCATCCCACACCTTCTGCTTGCTCATTGGAGGAGGACTCACTGCAGCATTTCAAAACACTGGGGTTGGAAAAACCTTCAAGGACCTTTGGCATGAACTTCCTCCTAACCCTGGGTCTCTGCTGAGTGAGTCTGGACAAGCAGCTGTCTTCCCTGCATGAAAACCTCCAGAGGCACAGAACTCAGCTCATTCAAATGCAGCCCATTCCATGCAGCAGTATCCACTGCTGCTCAATTCCCTATGAAATGGACTCTGCTCTCTTTAACTTTACTTCCTTCCCACACACAGCGCAGCCCCTCTGATTTCCTCCATGGCCAGAACCAAAAAGCCTTCCAGGGACTTCACAGGGACTTGGGCCTAAGAGGAGACACAGGGGAGACATCCAGCACTGAGCTGATCACTACCTTCACTGGCCAAAATGAACATGCTGTGGTGAGTGAGGCAGAGGTAAAGCCAGCATAGAATTTACAACAACCTTCTGCTCTCAGGGAGAGGGGTGCAGAAGTCAAGTTTTTAGATCACTTAGTCAGTACAGTGAAGCAAGAACACACTGGGCAGCATTACACAGCAAACAGCTGGGAAGGAAATAAAAAAGAATTCTGAATTGACCTCAGCCTATAAAGCTAGGGCATAGTAGCCTATAAACATATATACTATGTGTTGATTAAAAATTTTAACTAATTAACTTTTCCCAGAAAAGCAAGAATATTTTCTCAAGCAAATGAGGTACAGCCTGCTTCTTTTCCCGCTGGATACTCTGGAATGGGAAGAAAATCGCCATGGTTGGCCACAAGGAGTGACTCATTCATTCACTGTTCATTTCTTTACTGACTGCACGCTATTTTGTGCAAGGCATTATGCTCTGGGTATCATGGTGACTAGCACAGACTTGGCTGGGGCCCCTTTTCTGAAGTCCTCACACTTTGTCCAGACACAATACTGACACTATTCTATGTCTCTGAGGGAACCTATTAGCTATTCTGTGAGGAAGACAGGACACCAATCAGTCCATCATATAAATGTGAGGAAGGAATCATCCAGGGTCCCACATATGATTTGTGGCAGAATCAAAACTTGGCCCATAGCTCTGGATTCCCAGTCTCAGTAGCCTTTAAGGTTAGACTGTCCTGACCACCACCCCTCTCCCCTGGGATAGTAAGTTTAGTCATTTTGAATCTCACCTGCTGTCACTGGAGTTTGTGGAGGGGAAGGCCTGTTCTATGTTCTGGGAGTTCCCAAAAGCCTGGCTGTTGCCTCTGTCCACGGATTGGCCTGTGCTTACCCCCAAACTGGTGCTATCCAACACTGGAGCAACTGTTTGGTCCACAGACACCTGTACAAGATTTAAAAATTTGTATCTGGATCCAAAAATAACCAACATGGAAACACAGTAAAGAAGCTGATCTAGTTTATTCAATCAACAAGCATTTATATAAACGAACAAATAAAACCAATATCCCTCCCCTCAATCTCAAAGCTACTTACGTATATAGTCCTTTCCATTGCTCTCATTCCCAGGCCCCAGTGGTCCTAGGGAGAAGAGCTAAAGGAATCTAGAGACCATACCCAGTACACTGTTTTCTGGGGCCAAAGGGGGATGCCCACCCTCAAAACAAGGCAGATGGGAGGCAACTGCTCATAATAAATCCTCAGGACCAAGGAGACTTCATCACTTGACTCACAAGATTTACACTAAAGAAAACTTGCTGCAGAAATAGAATCGCTCCTTATGGGGCTGGGGGAGGGCAAGAGACTACACCTATAGACAAATGGGTAAACATCACTGTGGCCACCCTCCACCTGCCACAACTCACCATTTTCCACCCCAATCCTCCTTTCCTATATCTGTCAGTGAATATTTAGCCTTCTAATTGCCCAGGCTCAAACCTCAGAGGCATCTGATACCTGTTTCAGCTTTGTATTCAAAGAGAGGCCTACAGAGCCAGGTGTGGTGGCCCACGCCTGTAATCCCAGCACTCAGGGAAGCTGAGCAGGAGGATCATTGTGAGTTCGAGTCCAGCCTGGGCTACCAAATGAGTTCAAGACCAGGCTGAATTGCATAGTGAGACCCTATCTCAAAAAGACAAAAACAAAACAAAATAAAAAAAACAAAGAGAAGCCAGGCCCTGTGGCCTCCCCTCTGTAGATTCACCTCTATCTAAGTAATGCCGACTTTCCTCTGACCAGGGACAGCTGAAACAATCTCCTAACCAGCCCTACTACTGCAGCCTCTCCCTCTAAAAGCTCTGTGGGCTACCTCTACTTGCATCTGCCTAAAGAATAGCTCCAATCCCATTATTCTGTAACTCTGAAATCTGCATCTCTGTGATCTCACCACACCACCTACCATTCATCTGCATTTCCAGCCAAATCACATCCTGCTTGTAAACCATGGGATTCCTCTCCGCACAACCACTGGCTAAAAACCCCTTGGTCTTGAAGAGCCATTTTAAATGCTACTCCTTAGCAAAATGCTTCTTGGCTCACTCCACCCTGGTGGCTAACAACTGGACTTCTATGAATCTCTCTTGGTAGCTGCCAGGTTTTGCCTCATACAATAGTGTTACATCTGCCTCATTTGCTATAAGGGCCCTAGAGGACAGGACTATGCCCTGCTCACCTAGAAACCCTGCAACTTCATCAAAAGGTGCAGCCCACAGAATATATATGGAGAGAATTACTACTCCTTCTGGAGCACTTCAAGAAAAGTATATTGCTCTTAACTTGTGGTTCTTGGATACTACTTCCAAAATGGAGTCTTGTATTATCAGATATTTTGTTATAGGATATAAATATTAATCTTTCTAAAACAAAGTATCTGGGTCAAGCACTACTGTCACTGGGGATCAAATCTTTGTTTGGGGGACTATTCTGTGCGCTGCAGGATGCTGAGCAGCATCCTTGGCTCCTACACACTAAACGCAACTCCTACTTACATCCTCGGGTGTGACTAGGTTACCAGATGTCCCTTGGGGGATAGAATCATCTCCGCTTATAAAAGAACCATTAAACTCTCTTAAGGCAGGCTCAATGATTTGGGGGTGAGGAAAAGGTTTTTTGGGGTACCACAAATATCCTGAGAAGTGCAGCAAAAGGCAACTTGTAATTGCCAGTCACCACCTGGCTACAACCACTAAGGCTTAGAAACAGGTGTCACGCCCTAAAATTGAATTAGAACAAGTTAACTGAGGGGAACTAGACCCAGCTCTTATATGCATAACAATGCCTCATAAGCCCTGCCTTCTAGGGCCCTGTAGTGGAGTTCTCTCTCATGTACTATACCCTGAGGATTGTTCTACCAGCTTAACCTGAGGGACGGTCCCACAGATTTAATGATTCTTTACTTTGGTAGTGTGCAGTTAAGGAGTTACCCTTTAAGTCACATGCTGGCAAGCATTTTCTATAAACAATCCATAATAGATATACTAGGTTTTATGGACCGTGTAGTCTCTGTTACAACTACTGAACTCTGCACATGACAGCATCAAAGCAGTTACACACAATATGTAAATAAATGGATGTGGTTCTGTTCCAATAAAACCTTATTTATAAAAACAAGATGGTGGGCCAGATTTGCCCCATAGTTGCCTGACCCCTGCTCTTTATCGCACAAATTTGTCTTTCATGAGACTGCACATTTTTCGCAGATCTTAGTATCAGAAAAAGTTATGCTTCTCCTGAAGAATTGATTTGTCTTCATTTTTTGACCATTCTGAATCTTGGAACAGATGTTTTCCATATTTCTTTGGCTACAGGAAGTCAGACCCAAATTTAGCACAAAACTCTAGCTACCTTACAAGGCATTATATTATGCCCTATCTTATTTTTTCATTTCCTGAACTTCCCCCACCTAGGCACATGTTTATTCTGGAGGCTGCATTTACTTCCACCATCCACCTGAAGTAACCCCACTCTCCAAGTACTGGGATTGAACCTAAGGAGCTTTGAGCTACATCACCAGCACTTTTACTTTTTGTTATTGGTGGTACTTTTTTTTTGTTTGTTTTTGAGTCAAGCCTCTTGTCTCAGCCTCCTGAGTAGCTAGGACTATAGGCAGGTGCCACCATGCTCAGCCAGTGGTAACATTTTAAAATAAGACTAGAAGTAAACAAAAAGGGCAAGCTGGATGAACAGAACAGCAGTCACCTCAAGTAGAAGGCTGGTAAAGAGACAAGCTCCTTGGCAGGTATCCATTTATAATGCATTTTATCTTAATAAACCCATCTAAAATCTTCCTTACAGAAGCGTTCCATTTAACATATGTAGAAAACTCTCTCCCTCCTCTTTGGCTTTGGAGTGGACTAAACATAGTGACATGCCTCAAAGAACAAAGTATAAAAGGGGAAAAATAACAACTTCATAGTGGAGACACCAGGCAATACAACATTACCAAGTGGTGAAGGTTACCATCACAGAGATGTCATGCAGGTCCCATATACCCTCAATATGCTGTGATGAGGACACTGCACTTCACTTCTAGGATATTAAAAAAAAAAAAAATTTCTAACTAACAATGAGAAAAATATCAGGAAAACCAATTTTGGAGACATTCTATAGGATACCCTGGCTCTGCTGCTCAAGTGGGATACTAACTACATCCTTGCTTAGGGACTATCATTCTATAGAATACTCCCTAAGACTATCAAGGTCATAAAAAACAAGGAAATGGAGTTTGGGATGTAGCTAAGGGCATGCTTAGCATTCACAAGGCTCTGGGTCCAATCCCCAACACAAAAGAAGAGAGAAAAGCTGGGGGTGATGGTAAATGCCTATAATCTCAGCACAATGGGAGGCCCGGGCAGGAGGATCACAAGTTCAAGTTCAGGCTGGACAATTTAGCAACTTAGAGGGACAATGTCTCTCAAAACAAAAAAATTTTGAAATGAAGTAAAATAAACAGGGGTTGGAGATATAGCTCAGTATGAAGGCCTCAGCTGGATTCAATCCCCAATACATAGGGGTAAACGGGAGGAAACATGAGTATAACAACAAAGGGAGACAGAGGGACCCTAAAGGGACCCATGGCAGAATCCTTTATACCCTGAAGGTGAGCAGGAGGGCCTAAGAACAACTGGCAGGCCCACAACCTGGACATTCTCCAAGGTTTATGGTATCAGGGAAGAAAAGAATACCACAAATAAAAACCCTCTCCCTGCCCTCATAGTGTACCATCAGGGGGATACGATACACATTAAGAAATCCTCATCAAGGCCAGGTGCTGTGGCACATGACTGTAATCCCAGCATTCTGGGAGGCTGAGGCAGAAAAGCTAAAGTTGCCCAAAAGAAGCTTGGGCAATTCAGTGACTTGGTGAGACCCTGCCTCAAAATTAAAGAATAAAAATGGCTCAGTTGGGGATATAGTTCAGTGCAACAGCCCTGGGTTCAATCCCCAATAGTGAAAAGAAAAAAATAGTAATAAAAGTTTCTTTCATTCCTGCATATTTCATGGCACTTGACATGGCTCTATACCCAGCAGGTGCTTGGTATTTGCTATTTCAATTGAAATATATGTTTTCTGCAGATATTCCCTCCTTCTTCCACACGCCCTTCCTAATCCCTTTGTGAATGGTTATCCACAAAATATGAGGCTACCAATAAGTACACATATGAGATAAATACGTGAGAAAATCCAGTGAAAACCAGTGTAGAAAAAAGTGTAGACTTATGGTTTAAGTACTTTCTGATCCAAGACATTTTTAACATCTGGAGTTGCACCAGGCAATACTACAGTAACTAGCTGTAATGGCTGTTTAGATATAAATTAAAATAAAACTTGACGTTCATTTCATGGGCCATATTAGCCACACTGCAAGTAGCTCAATAGCTATGAGAGACTAAGGGCCACTGTGCTGGACAATGCAGAAGAACACTTCCTTGCAGGAAGTCCTATGGAACAGCAGGCTCCAGAGCAAAGGTTACAAACAAAAACACGTACCGGGCTGGGGGTATAACTCAGTGGCACAGCACCTGCCTAGTGTGCACAAGGCCCTTGCTTCAATCTCTAGCAACACCACCAAAAATAATAATAGTGTGTTCAGGGGGTGTAGGTAATATACTCTGGCACCTCTCCCTTTTTTTCCTTAAGGGAAAGGAGGTAGGCTGCTGCATGGTCATATGATTATGGCTAGACAGGAACTCAACTCCAGTGTCTAGCTTACATAGAACACAAAGCAGAAACTTGGGTTTTTGTATGAAATTTCCTTTTTTAAGTATTTCCCACAATTCAAACATTTAAAGAACACAACAAGGTTGAGCATGTTTTGGGAACATTTAGGACTGGACTAACCATTCCAATCCTAGCAGAAGCCTTCACACAGACTTCAGGTAAGAGCCTAGCTGACAGTGAAGGGTTTACCTCCGTGGCGTCCTTACCCTCTCCTCTTCCTCGCTCTTATATTCTTACGCGGCACTGTGCCAGATTTCCCACTGTGTCCCTGTCTCAGTACCTGCTGTCTCCTCTGACTGTGCCTCTTCAGTTCTCACTTGCTGAGTCAAATCCCATGTCATACACTTACATAGCTCCAGGGCCTCTTTTTTCAGTACCTCTCGGCAGTTCTACTTTGTATCTGTATGATTGGGACTTCACAAATGCTGTTCTTTACCACGAGGCTGTAAACTCCAAGAAGACAGCTGCCATGCTTGTTTTATATACTACTGATTCTTCACCACCTAGCTTGGCCCCTGGCACATGGAAGATGCTCAGTAAATACTACCTCTGAGATAGTGGTCAGGAAGACAGACAGACAGAAGAGCAGACAGACACACAAAACAAAAATAAACAAAACAATAAGGCAGGAACCCCGTCTCAGCAACAGCTGCTATGCTATGCAGATCAGGCTGGCCTTGAGCTCACTGTGTAACCAAGGCTGGTCTCAAATTCACAACGATCCTCCTGCCTCAGCCTCCCAACGGCTGGGATTACAGGTGTGCGCCACTACGCCCGGCTTGTGACAAGGTGGTTATTATCAGAATGACCTGGTGGCATAAAGGACCATTTCTCAGGACTGGCTCATAGCTGTTACCTGGAACACTCTGTGCACTTCTATCCGCTTTACTCTCTCTCCCTTAGCAAAACTGGTCTGGGTAACAGCTTCCCTCCCAAACTTGGCCAACAGGAACCCCTTCTCAACAACAGCCCTTCTGAGGGGTGAAAACCCTGGCAACAGCTCTGCAACTCAGGAAGAGCTGGATGACTTCTCTACTTTCCAAGGTCCAGGAGGATCATCAGAGTTAGAAAAGGTAGGAGAATGTTACGGTTTAGATCTGAAATGTTCCCTGAAAGTCTTATGTATACGGAAGGTGACTGGACCACGGGGTGCTGTACTCATCCATTGATGCATTCAGAAGCCAAATGTCCCTCAGGAGGTGGAGCCTGGTTAGAGGCAAGTCCCTGGAGGCATGGCCTTCCAGGCTGTATTCTTGACCCTCATCCCTCCCCTCTCTTTCTGCTTCCTGGCTGCCATGAAACGAGCGGCTGTCCTCTGCCAGACCCTTCCTCCATGCCATTGCTACCTGGAGCCAGCTGACTGAACTCTGGACACTGTGAGGCAAACAAACCTCTCCTCCTTTATGTTGTGGGTGTCAGGTATTGTGTCCTGAACACAGGAAAGTGACTCAGACAGCCGTGTCACTAGTTCAACCCCCTTTCTACACACACACTCACGAGAAAGGTGCTCACTGACTCAGTCAAGCTCATTCACTGGTTTGCTACCCTGCTCCCCTCCTCCATCTCTGTCCCTCATTCATACACAGACACCATGGAGAATCACTGTGAGCAGGGTCCGAGCTAGTCACAAAGGTACTTCATCTCATTCAAACTCTCAGAGCAACCCTACGAGTCCCATTCTACAGATGAGAAACCCAAATTGGGAAAGGTTAGTGCGGTTGGTGAAGGGTTCACAGCTAGTCGAGGAAGAAGTAAGCACAGTGAGGCCAGGGCTTACATGCTGACAGTCTTTGAACATGCAGCCCCCTTTTTTATCAAGAGCTTATGACACACTGTGTTTTCTGGTCCCTGTTAGGCTGGAGAGAAGAAGAAGCAAGGCTAAGGAGTGGTCACTAAAGCAGAGATGCATGCATTAAATTAACATTATAATCTGGCATCATAGCAATAGTCACCCCTCAGTATCCGCTAGGGATTGGTTCCAGGACACCACTATGCCCAGATACAAAAATCCATGAACACTCAAGTCCCTCACATAAAATGGCACAGTTTACATATAAATACGCACGTCCTCCTGTACACTTTAAGTCATCTCTAGATCACTTATAGCATCTAATGCAGTGTAATGCCAGGCAAATAGCTGTTACACTGTATTGTTTAGGGAATAACAAGAAAAGACAGTACATGTTCAGTGCATTTTTTTCTCCTTAATATTTCAATCCACAGTTGGCTGAACCATGGACAGCTATGAAAGACTGATGATACTAATCCCAAAATTACTTGGTGTTGACTATGTGACCATCACATACCCGGCATCATGCTAGTCATTTACATATATCATTCCTGCCACACATATAGTTAGAAACGTATTAATTTCCAAAATACACAGGGGATTTCTAGTTACTTTTCTAACATTGACATGTAACTTAATTGCACTGTGACCAGAAATAGACTGTATTTTATTCCCTTAAAAATTTGTTGACAGCCAGGTGTAGTGTCATACATCCGAATCTCAGCACTCGGGAGGCTGGGCAGGATGATCACCATGAGTCTGAGGCCAACTTGGGCGACATAAGCAAGTTTAAGGCCAGCCTGCACTACACAGCAAGATCTTGTCTCAAAAAAAAAAAAAAAAAAAGGTAGAAAATGAATATTTATAATACTCAAAATAATCATGTAAGGAAATTATTATTTCCTTTTACAAACAGGGAAGCTAGGGTTCAGGACCTTAACTAGTATGCCTAAAGCAGCTCCCTGGTATGGTACTGAAGCCAAGATTTGAAAGCAGTCTTTTCACTCCACGAGTCCCTCTCCCCAGTGTTATGCTACATGTTAGAAAACAAACACATTTGAGATTTTGTATATTTTACTACAAGAAAATTTAAAAAGAAAAAAGGTACAATTTAATGTTGTATATACTCTGAGCACTCCCTTACTACCTTTAATATGAGTTCAGGCACTTTTTTTTTCAGTGTACTAGACAGTGAATCCAGGGTTTTGAGCATGGTAGGCAAGCACTCTACCACTGAGCTACATCTCTAGCCTTAAATTTATACATTTTTTTTAACAGCACACTTTGTTTATGTGCCTAAAGTTTGATCTCTGTTATTCCCTATTGCTGGAACTCATCCACTTTTGTTCTTTAGGAAAATTCTACCATACAAAGCTTGTGGATTATTACAGGACTCATTAAACAAATATCTTCCAACTTTTCGATTTTCTCACATTAAATTCTAATCTAGGCTCAAAACTGCTCCTAAGAGTCTCCCGTTACAAAGAAAAAAGCTGAAATGATTAACCTAAGCCTATTTCAAACCAAAAATAGTGTGCCTCCCACACTCAGAGATGAGAGATTAAAACTCAGAGGTTCTGACAGGGATTTGCCCAGGGCCACGCAGTTCACGGAAAAGACTCAGGTGCACACATCTGGAAACCTGAACGGTCAAGCATGGCAACTTCTGGTTTCCTAAGAAAGGCAAAATTCCAGGGCTAACTAAAATCTTACCCTACTAGTACAGTATAAGAGCTTAGTCACTCACTAATAATTGGGTCTCCTCTGGCCAGCTAGTTTATTCAGGTCTCAGTTTCCTCATCTGGAAAATGAAGTGACTATGCTTGTACCTTATAGATTTGTTGAAAATATTATGTAAAGCACTAACAGAGTGGGTAATCAATAAATGTTGGTTTTCTGACTCCTACTAAGTAAGAAGTCCTTAATTTTTGCCCTTGAACCTCCTAAGTTCCACCATCCTTTGCCTGCCCCACTCTGCATAAACCCTATTCACTTGTCAGATCTTTGTAACTAGTTTTCTACAACTAAGTCAATTTCACATACTACCCAGTGCCCTCAATAAAGGACAGGAAGCCCTGTTTCTCTTCACCAAGGACCTGTCACAACACTAATTACTAACTCTAATTAAAGAGCAGATCTTCAGTCAAGCCTGCAGGTCCTGAAGCTAAATCTCAGTTCTACCCTATACTGTATAAAGCAACTTCTTTGTCCCTTAATTTTTCCACCTGTAAACCTAGGATAAAAGTTTTACTTCATTCATAGGTTGTATTGGGAGATTAAATGAGCTAATGCATGTGCTTCGTATGTAATAAGTAAAGAATTTTAAGACCTGGAAGGTCCCTGAAAATTTGATCCAAACCCTTATTTGTCAAATGAGGTAAGTGAAGCCTAGAGAGTAGGCAAGCAGTCTAGGGCCAGGCACCACTAGCCTATGATGCAGAACATACCTATTTATAAACGCTGGCTCTTGTTCTCACCACTTCCTGCCACATTGCTATAAATTTATATTTTGTACTGGGAGGAGAAAAAGAAGTCTTCAGTCCTTAAAGATACATATATCACACTGCTTATAAAACTTAGAAGATGTTGCAGTGTGGTGAGAATCCATAGCAACCATGTGAACCAGAGAGGCAGCAATAAGAAACACTTGACTTACTGCTATTGTAATCATATGTCCTTGTACATGAATCTCCATTTTCCTGTACCACTCAGAACACCAAGGAAGGGAATGTACACTTTGGAGACCAAATTCAATTTAAGCTGCCATTCAAACTCAGATTCAGCCCAATTCCATCTGCTCAGAACTGAACAGAAGGCCAGTCTGCGGTTTCTGCCAAAGGCCAGGCATGCATGAGCTGCACAGCCCTGGAGTTTGACTAACCTGAGTATAGAAGACAGATGATGCTGTGCGTGGGCTGCGGACAAACTCCATAAAGAAGGCCCCGTCCTGAAGTCAGAGGAGGAAGCAGCAACAGCAGCAGCAGCAGCAGCAGCAGCAGCAGGTGCAGGCACAAGGTAGCAAGGAAATGGAGCAGGTACCAGTGGTTAACCATTGGGGGATGCAGAGGTGGATGAAAAACAAAAAATAAAAATAAAAATAAGGGAAGGAGAAACAAGGACACATGAGGGAAATGGATGGAAAATTAAAAAAAAAAAAAAAAACAAAGACAGAGAGAAAGAGAAGAGAAGAGATCCACCCTGGACAATATCCAAGTGCAAAGCGTGAGCAGAAACTTACACCCTCCCAGGCAGAATATCCCAAATGCATGGGAGAAAGCACCTGGGTCAGAAGGGGTATCCAAGCTGCCTTGTGTTTCCTGAAAGCATGGCTTAGATGCTTTTGCCCTACACAGAGCTCTGAAATGCATTCAGACCTATGCAAAAAGAGACAGGCCACAGAACCACTTGGTTGGGATGGTGGGAAAAAGGAAGCACTGGCAAATCCTGGTCTCTCACCTGCCTGGATGACCAGCTGGGAGAGAGACACTGAAGTATAAGGTTTCTTCTGCCTATTACTGAAAGTGGCAGCCAGATAGGAGAAGAGGATTCCATGCAAGGAAAGTTCTTGATTAATTTTCTGAGCACACAGTGGGTACAAAAGCAACCATACCTTCTCCTCCACTGGTTGTATAATGAAACAATCAAGAAGTTGAGAGGTAAAAAAGTACTCATTTGAGGTGCTCCCTCAAACCATCTTTCCCTTCCTGCTCTATTCATGTGGGATACACACGGTCATGCATATGAAATAAAAATGGCACAGCAGACCATTCCACAGACCCTGTCTCTTAAGATCTTTTGACTTTTTATGCTTATCACTGCAATTCAGAAGTGGCACTTGACCAAGTTCCTTGCTTTTCCAAACCTTTCCTTCAGTTTGAAAAGCAGAACTTCTGAGTGTGCCAGCAGGGCATCTCAAAGCATTTTGCTTCCCCTTACCTAAATTTGGGAGTCAACATCTAGCAATACTGATAGCTCCTGCATATGGATTTCCATGTTCAATTGAAAGGAAAGTGTTTAAGCAATATATCTGGTCTTTGGTGCATATTACCCTTAATGTTTATGACTTTATAATTTCAATATTTTCAGTCTTGTCTTTGGCACTGTTTCTAATCCTAAAAATGACAATATTCAGAGGTTCGAAAAAAGAAAAATAAAAAATTATTGGGCAGCATGTAGGGGACTTAGGTACCTCTTGTCCCTTCTCTGACAGAACATATATAGCAGAGGTGCTGATGATGTTGAGATTTGTGTACACATGAATGAAAACAGGAGAAAAACTCTCTCTTGGCTAAGAGAATGAGCCGAGGTCAGCAAACTATAGCCTGGAGGCCAGATCTGCCTGGCCATCTGGTTTTTTATTGCCTGTAAGTGAAGAACAATTTCTACAATTTTAAATGATTATAGAAATAACGTATAAAGAGCCTTGTTTTGCCTCTTGAACCACAGAGTCAGAACTATGTATTTAGGTTTGCTGACCTCTGGTCTATAGTTTACAAACTGCCTGCAGTCTTGGTTCACAATTTTTCTCAGATTTTAATCCCTCCATCCTAGCAATGTAATTCTAGTAATTTAGGCAAAGGAAATAGACAGAGATGTGATCAACTAATTAATGTAACAAGTTCATCAGCTCGGTATGGTAGCAAACACCTCCAATCCCAGTACTCTGGGCAGCTGAGGCAGAAGAATTGGAACTCTGAGCCCAGACAAGGAAACTGAGGAGACCCCATCTCAAAATAAGATTAAAAATTTAAAATTAAAAAAATTTAATTTAAAGGGATACAACTCATGCAAAAGCTGAATCTTGCCACTAAAAATAGGAAATTCATTAAAACATTATTTATAACTGTGATGCATTGCAAAATAAAAAAAATTACATGAAAAAAATATGATGGCCAAAATCTGTCTTAAAAAGCAGAAATCAATCAGATGCACTGGTGCACACTTGTAATCCCAGCACTCAGGGGGCTGAGGCAGGAGGATCACTGTGAGTTCGAGGCCAGCCTGGGCTACACAGTGAGTTCATGGCCAGCCTAAACTATCTAGAGAGACCCTGTTTCAAAGAGCAAAAAAAAAAGGAAAGTAAACTCATATGATAAAATATTACATACCATGTGTGTGTTTTATGCTGAGGATAAAACCCAGGGCACTGTACCTGAATGTGTGCTCTAGGCATATGCAAGGTTCTGGGTTCAATCCCTAGCATCACACACAAAAAAATCACACTTTTGAAAAATATTAATGACACAGAAAACTTTTTGTGACACAAAGTAAAATAAACAAAGAAAGGAATAGATATACAATTTGGCCACAATTTTGAGAAATAAAATATATCCACTGAATCCCTTCTACCTTCCAGTAGGAGAGATGAAATAAGAGACTATACAGTCAGCTCATACTATGAGATCACAACAGAATAATCTTAGATTCTGAATTTCTCAGGAAACAAAGTTAAGAGTCAAGTCTACTGATCTTGAAAGGCACAAAAAGCCTGATCTATGGATCTCTTACCATCTGTGTAGTACTTGCTATTTTTTTATAAAGGCCTAAAGTCTAAGAGGGTTTTGTTTGTACCCTCTCACCCCATGATCTTGTTTGATTATATTGCTCAGGAATCTAAGAAAACTGATAGGATTTCTACTGTTAAAGAGTGAGTGAGCTCTTGTGGAAAGTGCTTCAGTAGCTTCAGTACTCCTGTGTGAGAAAGCTAACAAAGATGGTAAAGGACCACTAGAAAGCCAGTGTCAAAACTCAAGTCAGATCTTGGGTTTGACTGTTTTATATCTGCAATGAACTATAAATTAACTTGCTTACGATGGTGAACGAAAGGGTACCCTTAACAAAGATGTAACAGAACCTTAAAGGGGTGAGAAGTAGAATTCTCACAAAGCCTCAGCACATTCAACCCTAAATTTGAACAGCTTCCCACTCTACCTTCCACATGGGGTTTCTTAGAGTACATGGCAGCTCCCCGACGGAGTAGCCTCCTTTACCTTTCGTGGGCTGTCCACATAGGTGGGAGTCATGGCAACACTGCCGCTCTCAGCTGGCTGGGCAGAGCTCTTTCCACCATGCACAGCTGCCTGCTGTTCTCCTAGGCACCTAAAAGAAGGAAAAACACATGACTGCTGCTTGCTCAGAGCTCCCTGGTAAAGGCTCCACATTCGCTAAAATGAAGACAACTCTGTTGCTGTCACCTTTGAGACACATACACTTCTGCCTTGTTCTGCCTCAGGTCCTACATGACACCATTAATTTGATTCATAATCCTGAACAATCACCAGTCTGCCATAGTAAAATGGAAAACATTGCAATTTGAAAAGCAATTCTGGCAGGATCTGGTGCCTACATATTACTTTAAAAGGGCAAATGTCATGATTTCAGTGACTCTACCATGAATAGCATTTTTTAATCCTGTGGGAAGAGTTTTTTCAGTTTTTCTTAAATCTAAAGCAAAAGCACAGCCAGGCATGGTGGCACATGCCTGTACTCCTAGCACTCAAGAGGCTGATGCAGGACTGCCCTGAGTTCGAAGCCAGCCTGAGCTACATAGTGAGCTCAAGACCAGCCTGCAGTGCATAGCAACAGCAAGACCCTGTCTCAAAGAAACAAAAATAAAGCAAAACCACATTCTGAGGGCCTGACAAGAGGGAGAGGGAAAGGGAATGGGAAGAAAAAGAAGCAAAATATAACATGTACAGGTACAAATTCTTGACAATGAATGTTATCACTAAAATGTACAATAAAATTTTTAAAAAGCACATTCTGAAAATTAGGGGTGCATTAACATGCAATAGAACCTAAACAGGGGAAAATGTTAATTTTATATATTTTGAAGGGATTTATGTTATTCTTTCCAACTTATATCACTAAAACACACAGATCCAACAGACATAATCCCGTAACACAAGACAAATACAATTTTCTTATGCCACCTCATTCTATCTCAGTTCTTATGTACATAAATGCATACTTTCATCGCTAGTTTTCAAAAGTTTTCCACACTAAAATTAACTGCAGACTATTTTAGCTTAAATTATTTTGTTTTAATATATATTGATATATTATTAATATATATTATTCTTATCTGGTAAATTGCAGAAGGTTCATATTATAATCCTAAGTACTTCATTACTATTATAAAATGCAGAGTTGTCTTTCAGTATCTGAGGAGTTTCAGTTATAGGACCCCCATCAATAATAAAATTTGTAGATTCTCAAATCTCTTATATACAACAACACAGAACTTACATAAAACTTACATATATTCTCCTATATACTTTAGGCCATTTCTAGGGTACTTGTAATACCAGTACAATATAAATGCTCTGCAAACAGCTGTTGACTCATATTGTTTAGAGAATATGACAAGATGCAATTTTTCTCCCTGTAATCTTTTCAGTCTGTGGTAGGTTGACTTGATAAACGCAGCACCCGTAGACATGGAGGACCAAGTGTACTGCTGTGGCAGACACTGTGAGGCACCATCTGGATCCCTCAGCAGTGGCCCGTTGCCTTAACGGCTGAGAGCACTAGCCAAGCAGCTCAGCTGCCAGTGCATCCAGTGACATCTCCAGCTGCAGAGCAGCCTGGTCTAAGCGCACACCCGTTCCCTGGGATGCCACAACCAATGAATGATGAGCAGGAACAGGTGTGCGCATGTGTGCCTACCAAGGCCCAGCACGCTGGCATGACTTGGCTCATTTGTGAAGGCTATGCTGGCTCTAGCACTCATCTGGGGCCCCCGAGACTATCAGTGAGCCAGTGCTACAGCTCCGCTTCTCCCTGTGCTCATTCCTGTATCTTCCTACTCTCTCTCACAGGCGATGAGCCCAAAGACTGTGCTCAACAAACAGTCTAAAAACTCAAGTCTTCTTCCTTGGGAACTCAACCTGCAATCTTTCTCATCTTAAATTCTGATTTTTTTATTTTATTTTTTGTAGTCCTAGGGATTAAACCCAGGTTCTCATGCATACTTGGTAAGCACTCTACCACTGAGCTATACTCCCAGACCAAATTCGGACATTTTTGTTAACCATCATGAAGTAATCTCATACTAGGGATTAGAAATCTGTTTCTGTTTAAGAGGAGCCCGTTACTCTTTAAATTTTTTTTATTTTTGAGACAGGGACTCACTATAGTCCAGACTGCCTCAAATTCATGATCCTCATGCCTCAGACTCCTGAGTACTGGGATTACAGATGTGTGACACCTAAATTTTTTTTAATTATGGAAAAATTCAAACATATGTAAGAATAAAGAGGGTAAGGTAATAAATCCTACATACCCAGCCACTAAAATTATATACTTACAGATAATCTTGTTTCATCTATAGCCCTTACCTCCTCACACCAATTATTTTGAAGCAAAACACATGATATTATTTCACCCATGAACACTGCAGTATCTCAAAAAGAAAAACTTTTAGGGCTGGGGATATATCTCAGTTGCACAGCACCTGCCTGGCAAGTACAAGGTTCTGAGTTCGATTCCTGGTACAAAAAAAACTTTAAAAAATAACAACTTAAAAAAAATTCTTATATAACTCCTGAAATGTCTCACAGGAAAAAAATTCTACAGTTTATGTAAAACAAGATTTTATTAAGGCCCTTTTGTTGAAGTAAGTCAGTTACATCTCTTCATTCTCTTTTAAGGTATAAAATCCTCTCATCTCTGCCATCTTTGCAGTTATTTACTGAAGACAGGAGCTCTTTTGTCCTCTAAATGTATACAGTCTAGATGTGCTGATTGTGTTCCTTTAGTGCTTAGCATGTTCCTTTATGTGCTGTACTTCCTCAGAACTAGAAGTTATACCTAGTGGTTTGGACAAATTTAGGTCCAATGTCAGGCAAGAATTCTTCTTAAATAGTGCTGTGTACTCCTACCCAAAGGCCATGACTTACTGTTCTTGGTGGTAAAACGTTAGCTACCACTGAGAATCTTTAGAGATGTATCAGTTCCTTAGAGACTACATATAGTGATATTCTACCATTCCTTTTGTACTTATTAGCTGGAATATTTTAAAAAGAGAAACTGCACCATACTAATGACTTGTTTTCTCGGAGGTATAATTCATGGATGAAAAGCAGCAAACATGCTTGATCCTTTCCCTTGCTTACTGACACCAGACTGTGTTCCCCCTCTCTCTGTCTGTGCTTCTGTCTCTGTTTCCCTCCCTCCACTACATCACAGTGTTTTCCTCTCAACCACATCCACAAATGCACACTGACATTTTCTGGCACTTCCTGAGGGCTGTAGCATTGGCCAGGACTGGGACAGCAGTGAAAAGAAGCTTCTCTGAAGATCTGCTGTGCGATGCACGTAACAATCCACATTTACTGAATGGTGTCGTACAAGCTGACACATACGAGGAGTCAGAGATTCAGACATAAGGAAGACCCTGTCTTTACCCTTACAGTTTCCTTGTCTAATGGCTCAGGGGGAGGGAACTGACACAAAATGACCAGCCACCATGTGTACACGTACACATAAGAAAATACATGGGCACTCTGTATTCTGCCCTATAAGGAGCCAGCCAAACTTCCAAAGCCAGTGTCACATGTGCTGCGTATCTTAAAGGATGGGCAGGAAAAAAACAGCCTACACAGAAGCAAGAAGATAAACCCTTCACATGAAGTCTGCAGGTGGACAATATACTGTGTTGTATTGCTGGCATGTTTTCAGCAAGCATGGAGCCTTGAGGGTCCAGCACACACAAGAGCCACCTTGGATAGAAGAAAATCCCACTGTTTTGCAGTCTCTGTCTGTCTGTCCTTCACCCCCACCCTCACCCCAACAACCAGGTTATCCTCATCTAACAGAAGCAGAGAAGCTGGCTGCAACACTTGCTCCCTCCTCTTAATTAGCACAGAGGTGAGACTCCAGAGACCTTGGTCCTGCACAAAAGCCTGATTAAATATCTGTACCTGCAGATAAAAACTGGAATCGAACTGGATGAAATAAACATTGTTATGGTAAGATGGAGAAACTACATACGAAATTTTAAAGTTCTCTTTTTCATGTTGCTCTAATATTATGTTTCTCAAAATAAACAGAATTGAGCCAGGTGTAGCAGTACAAGCCTGTAATTCTAGCACTCTGGAAAGCTGAGGCAGGAGGATCACAAATTCAGGTCTGGCTTGGGCAATTTAACAACTCAGTGAAACTTTGTCTTAAAATAAAAAATAAAAGAAGGGCTGAGGATATAGCCTTGTGTGAAGGCTCTGGGTTCACGCCCCAATATCACAAAATACACACATTCGTATAGCTGAGTCCACTTGGAGCAGCACAGCAGCAGCAGCAGCAGAAAAGCATACAAATAAAAGATGCTGTGTGAACAGACATTATATTATAAAAGCCTGGCTCCTTCTGCTCTCCCCTCCAGCCTTGAGAAAATATAGCACTTCCCCCAGGAGCAGGCATCTAGCACAAGATATAAGCCTTGGGTCTCTTTGTCCTGTCTCCTATTGTGGGGTTAGCTGAGAATCTCATCCTTTACCCTGGGGTACTCTACTCCCCAAGACAGCGCCTTCTTCAGCCTGAGCAAAAAGAGGCTCCCTGGTGCACACTAATGATGACTCACTGCACAGTAAATAAGATCCCCAGCCTCACACCCCTCCCAGCAACATATGTTCCTTGTTCTGTTTTCCAGTGGGAAAGTCTATCATTTGTTCCAGGGAGAACCTGGCAGGCAGAGTTCTGGGGTCTTTCTTGGGTCTGATAAAGACATTTTGGGCAGAAGACACAGTACCCTCAATAATGAGCCCAACCAGCCCCTGCTTTCCTTCTCTTGTTTGCTCTCCCTTGGATACTCTGCTGTGTTCTTCATGTTATTCTTTGCATTCCTTCTTACCTATTAATCTTCATCCTCCATCCATCCTCTGCCTCCGAGCACCTACCCACCAAACCTCCCTATACATGGGGCTCATCTTCAGAAAAAAAAAAATCACTTCTGACAAATGGATATTTCGTGATATTAAGAAATTCCTGCAATTTTTTAGGTAGACTATAACATTATACTTTGAATTTAAAAAAAAAAAAAAAAAAAGGCCACCAGTACTCAGGAGGCAGAGGCAGGAGGACTGTCTCAAGTTCAAGGCCAACCTGGACTATATAGCGAGACACTGTCTCAAAACAACAACAACAACATCAACAAAAAGCCCAGTGTGGTGGCACACACCTATAATCCCTGCACTTGGGGGCTGAGGCAGAAGGATCACTGGGAGTTTGAGGCCAGCCTGGACTACACAGTGAGTTCACGGTTAGCGTGTGCTACAAAGCAAGACCCTGTCTCAAAAAAAAAAACACCTTTCAGATACACATGCTAAAATATACAGAAGAAGGGACATGTCTGAGATCTGAGAAAAAAATAAAAGGAAAGAACATGAGTGGCATATAAATGAAACAAGACTGAGTTGATGATTGCTGAAGCTGAGTGATGGGTAAAGAGGGACACTAGTCTATCTACTTCTCATCTGTCCGAAATTTTCCATTAAAACGTTTTTTTTAAACTTGCAAAGAATTCCTCCTGCTATGAGACTGTGGAAGGATGGTCTGGCATCCAGCTTCCCACACTGTCTTTCCAACTGCACCTCCCACCATACCTCATGCTCTTTCACTTGCTCACGCTGCTTTCTAAAAGTCTAACATATGCAGGCTCCTGCTGGGTGCAGGAAAGACTCTCGCACTAGACAGACAAGCTTCTAGTCTCCCCTAACACACTTGCCCACAGCTGTGCAGGTAGACCCTTAGTATCTGTTATAGCTTGCAACTAGATGTCCTCTCAAAGCCTCATGTGGTCATAGGTGGGGCTTTTTGGAGCTGGCTCCATCTAGAGTGTGAGATGCTGGAATAAGGACATGATGCTCGGACTAAGGGTGCCCCACCCTAGGTGTGAGTGCGAGCAGGCTGCCTAGATGAAACATAAAGGCAGGCTTGGTTGCCGCTACTGCTTCTGCTGCCTTCTGCCTGCCCTGCTCTACCATGAACTGTTTCTCCCTTGCAGTGCCCCTCTGCCATGCCCCTGCCTTGAAGCCAGCTGACTACCAACTGAAACCCTTACAAACTGTGTGCTGAAATAAACCTTCCCTCCTTTAAATTTGGGTGTTGGGTATGTTGTCTTAGCAAGGAGAAAAGCACTAAGACAGCATCCTGCTCTCTGTCATTTCATAAATATGCACTGCATACCTACTATATGCCAGGTAGACTCACAGCCTCTCCCCTCAGAGAGTACAGTCAAAAGGGAGGAAAGACGAGTAAACTAGTGCCTGAAGCCCTCAGGAGAATACTGGTAAGCTCTCTGCTAAGACGTAGGCCCAAGATGCAGTCAAGCAAACAGGGGGACTGGACCCCAGCTAGAGGGATGAGAGGGGCAAGGAAAACTGCCCAAGACAGGTCTTACCCACACACAGCAACGTTTTCTCTTTTCTCCAAGTCCCACCTTCCTTCTGTTGCTACGCTTCACTTTTTTTTTCTGTTTCTATGCTTTACTTTCTGTAAGATCAACTTAAACCTGACCTCTTGTGACACTCTTCCTGCCTTCCCAAGCAAGATCTTATTAGTGTCCTATCAATTGGCACTGCTATACAGGGCCACATAACAAAATGCCTAGAGAAACTAGATATCCCCTCCAGGGGCAAGACTGAGGATGCAACAAATCCAAGACCTCAGGGAGAAAGAACTACACATCTCTTCTTCTTTTTTTTTTTTTTCTTTAGTACTGGGGATTGAATCCAGGGCTCTGTGCATGCAAGGCAAACACTCTACCACTGAATTGTAACCCCAGTCCATCCTTTCTCTCCTTACGTTTCTTTTGCTATCTTTCTTTTGAGTCAAGGTCTCATTAAGTTGCCCAGGCTGAGCTTGAACTTGTGATCCTCCTGCCCCAGCCTCCTGAATAGCTGGGATTGCCGGCATGTGACACCCCTTCTAAAGTGCAGTCTGCTGTGGCTAGGAACAAATGTGGACTGAGCCTCTGCTACTTAACATAAAGCTGGATTGTATATACTATACTTTAGTATATACTGGATTGTATATACTAAAGCTCTTGGATTTCTTTCTATTGTATCTACAGTATAATTTCACATTATATTATCTATATTATGTAACTTTTGTATTATATAACAGAATCACACATCATGTTATGTACATTATGTACATTATATATTTTTATATAAAAATTCATATAAAAGCCAGGTTTTTATATGAAGTCTTCAAATTTGAAAAATTTGGCTCAAATATTTTAAAAATACTTATAAGGTACATGCAATGGTATGTACATGTAGTCCCAGTTGTTTGGGAGGCTGAGGCAGGAGGATTTCTTGAGCCTAGGACAGTGGTGGTATGGCAAACCTATGGTATGCTACAGTGGATTGTTTTTATCAACTGATAGCTCTAAGGGGTTCACCATCATTGACCTAGGAGTTCAAGTCTACCCAGGACAACACAGCAAAAAATTAAATAAATAAAAATGTTTTGTGTATCTATAGGTCAAATTAAATCCCAGACTACAAGTTTGTAATTGTAGTCTTGTTGGCCTATTTCATATTATTCTACACTTTGCTGGTTATTAGCCTGGCTTTCTTTTTCTTTTTTCCTTTTTTTCCCCTAGTACTAGGGATTAAAGCCTTTGCAGTGAGCTATCTCCCCAACTTTTTTTTCTATTTTGAGACAGGATCTTACTAAGTCACTAATTTGCTGAGGCTGGGCTCAAACATTTGATCCTCCTGCTTTAGCCTCCCAGAGTGCTGAGATTACCAGCATGCACAATTACACCCAGCTCTTGGATTTCTTTCTATGTAAGTATCTTCTTAATTACAAGCTCCTTGCAGATGGAAATCATAGTTTGCCCTGCTCACAGGAGTGAGGCACTGAAAGCTGTACGGAACCGCGGGGTGGAGATACTACCCTCTCAGGTAGGCACTTACTTCTGACTTGCCTCCATCTCCAGCAGAGCAGACAGAGCAGAGGTTCCTTTCTTCCCAACCGGGGGGCCTGCTGACTCCAGGGAGTGTGTGGAGATGGGCCCAGTCATCTGCAGGCCTTTCAGAGCAGTCCCTTTCTACGCCAGAGAAGAGAGGAAATGAAGCCATCAGCCCAACCAAGCTCTCTCCGTGGATACCACTCAAACCCAAGCCCAGGCTGCTGCATCTCCATGCCCTTGGACACCCCATGAACACAGTCAGGGGACACAGGTTCTGAACGTAGTGTAGAAGAAACTGAGGCTCAGAGAGGTTAAGAGATTTATTCCAAATCCCCCTGGAGCTGGAATTCACACTCCAGCTGCCTCACTTCAAAACCAAAGCTCTTTCTGTGGAAGTTCTCCCAGAAACGTCCCAAATCCTAAGTGTTGTTGCATACGAAAAGCAGCTGGCATGGAACAATACTGAACTTGAGATTAAAAACAAAAACAAGAAATAGGCTGATAATGGAATACTATCAGGCAATTAAAAAGAATTAACCACTGATACACAAAACGACTTGGATGAATCCCAATGAGCAATTCTGTGTGGAAGAAGACAGCCTCAAAAGGCTTCATACTATATGATTTCATTTTTATGACTTTCGTGAAAAGAAAAGGTATTACAAGAGACAGTGGTTGCTAAAGGACAGAAACGGGGAAGAGTATGATGGCCAAGGGTAAAATAATGGAGCTCCCTTTGAGGTGAAGTTTCTTTGAGGAATAGTTTCTAGTCTGTATCCTGCTTGTGGTAGTGGCTGAATGAATCTACACATTTATTAAAATGTTGATACCTGCCTACATGTCCATGTGCACACACATATGCACATACACATGAACACAGGTCATGTATACTGCACGTTAATTTAAACAAAACAGTGCTGAATCCTAGATTTGCCCTTTGTTGGCTGGGTGGCCTCAGATATCCCATAACTGCCACAAGCTTCAGCTTCCCACTCAGTAGTAGTATGTGACTGAAATAAAGGACAACGGCACTGGAAACTCTAAAAGAGACACGTGCAAGGAGGGATTGCTGCTATTAGCTCTTCAGAGTTTCTACTCAGCAATTCAACGTATCACACGCAACTGTGCTCAACACTTGGCCCCACTCAGGGAAGCACAGAAAGGCTGCGTCCTCAGCTAGAGAGGGGGTTCAAGCCATGGTCACCTCCTAGTCACCGTCTGCACCCCAGTCTCCCTCCTTTACCTCACTGTGGAGAAGAACACACTGTTTGGGATTTAAGACAAAGCTGGAGCGCTGTGGGGTAAACACACTCATGAGAGGATCCTGAGAGAGGAAAGGGTAGATTCTGCATCCCAGTCAAGCGCAGTCCTCGGGAAGCGCCAGAGGCGTCAGGAAGCCTCACCCGCATCATGCGATCTGAGCGATGCCGCCTGCGGATCCGGTTCAAGCCCTCTACAAAACGGATAAAGCCATCCAGGAGCTGCCATTCATCCTCGTCCGCGCGGGGTCTGTCCCCATAGATGTCACAGTGGGCCTCGCCCTCTGTGATGCGCTTGGTGGCAGTGACGCAGGCTGGCAGCAGCAGGAAGCGGGTCCTCCAGAACTTCAGAGACTCAATTAGGCTACAGAAAGCCAAGGAAAACAGTATAATAATGAGAAGAAGCAAATGATCAGAGTACTCCCAGCAAATTCTCTCTGGAGTTGGTGCATGAGGGTCCATCTCCCTCAGAAGTGCATGTTCATCTGATGCTACAATTCATGGTTTATTTAAAACACAAGCTTGGAAGGAAGACAGTGGCAGTCACTTTTGCCTTAATCCCTGGATGTCAGGTGCTTTAGTGTATCCAGGTCCAGCGAAGTTATGGCGAGGCACCATCACAATCATAAGTCATGCATAAAAGTCAAAAATTAAAAATGAGACACCACCGTGGTACACGCCTGTAATCCCAGCACTCGGGAGGCTGAGGCAGGCGGAGCGCCATGAGTTCAAGGCCAGCCTGGGCTACACAGTGAGTTCAAGGTTAGCCTAAACTACATAGTGAGACCCTGTCTCAAAAAAAAAAAAAAAAGACACTACAGACCTACCAGCCAGTTAGACAAGAAAATGATAAGAACACGATCTGCACTAACATTTGTACCAAAAGGCACATTATCACGGAGTTGTTTTGTTTTTTTCAATTGAGTAAAATATATATAACAAAATGTACCACTTTAACCAATTTTAAGTGTACAGTTTAGAGGCATTAGGTGTTCCCATTACTGTGTAACCATCACCGTTATCCATCTCATCACTATTTTTAATCCAAGTAGATGTGCTCTGTTCTTTTTTTTTTTTTTTTTTTTTTTTTCTAGAAGACAAAACAACCTATTGGCTTTGGAAAAAAGAACAGAAGTGCTAAAATAGCCATATACCCAAGGCAGCAAGAATAGAAAGCCAAAGCTTTCACTCTGACCTGAAATCCTCAGATCCTGCAGAACAAATATACTGGTCTAAGTAATTCCACTTGTACTCCTCCAGCCGCTCATGGGAGAATTCTACCCAACAGGAAACAAACTCTGAGTCTGAGTGGGAAGGGCAGAGGCTGTAGGTGTAATGGATCTGAGCAGATTCGTAAGGGTATCTGAAAAATAAAAAGCATTTCTACATGTTCAAAAGAGAATACACGCACACACATGCACACACATGCACATGCAGGCACACAATTTTTTCTCCTTTCTATCTCAAAGCACTCATCAAGTACTATCCTTGATATTCTACCCTGGACTGGGGTAACCAACTCATCCCAGAGGACTGAAATGGAAACTTCTATCTTCTCAAACCTTTTCATTCTTTTCTGCTCCTATTTTTAACTTTAACTGGTTTAGTATGAATCATACTAAACATTATAAGGTTAATCAAATTCCTTTTGGAAATAGGTAAATTATAACCCTAAAATAACCTCAGGATTATCTTAAAACAAAACAAATACTCCAAAGGAAAACCAACTACTCAACTTCCTTGGTTAGAACTTTGTACTCTACACATAATTTAGAGTGCAGACATACTTCAGGATGCCAGATGAAGACCTTAAATATCAAAGGATTTACTTGGGAAGGTACCGCGTCACTGTGATCATTTTGTCTTTGAGAGTCACTTTGTGGAAAGTTCTGCCCATACTCAGCCAATACTGATCCTCCTCTTCAGGGCGGTTTCGAGACACAAGGCCTAATAGAGAAAATAATAAGAACCTGTATCGCTCCCATACAGATACAGAAAAGGAAAAACAGAAGAGACAACATTTTGGGGGGGGCCATTTTATGGAAGAAAGTTATTCCTGGTTTTAAAAAAAAAAGTAGTCTAAAAGTTGACAGATTTGCATGCCTGTAATCCCAGCACTTGAGAGGCTGAAGCAGGAGGATCGCCATGAGTTCAAGGCCAGCCTGGGCTACCTAAATTCAAATTATCACTTCCTCAAGGCAGCTGTCTCTGACCCTCCAGACCAGACTGGGTCACACTCTTGACTTTTCCCTCACAGTATTTATCATAACATGTAGTTTTTTTCTCTTTTGTTCTTTTTTGGTGATACGGGGGATCAAACCCAGGGCTTTGCACTGAGCTACACCTTCAGCCGTTTTACCTTATTTGTTTTGTTTTGTATTAGACAAGGTCTCACTAAGTTGCTAAGTACCCCAGGCCGGGCTTCAACTTGCAAGAGTACTGGGACTACAGGACAACATGTAATTTCTTATAGTTTTACAAGTATTATTTTCCCCGGTTGGACTATAAGTATCTCCTCAGAGTAGAAGCTTCAAAGACACTGTAGAATGAATGAATGGATATTTATTGATCTGTGCTGTTATAGTCCAGGCACTGTGGTTTCCGCTATGGATGATAAAAACCTGAATCTGAGCTAAGCACTGAGGCACATGTCTATAATACCAGCTACTCACAAGGCTGAGGAACGAGGACTGCAAGTTCAAGACCAGTCTGGGCAACTTAGTGACGCTATCTCAAAATAACTCTAACAAGGGGGAGAGAGGCATGAGGGACATGGAGGTGAAACTGTAGCTCAGTGGTAGAGTGCTTGTCTAGGATGCCTACTAAGGCCCAGGACTTTACCCCAGCACAAAATAACTAAATAAATAAAATCAGTCTGAAACAGTCTTGGCACTGAGAAAGGTTAATATTCAACAGAAGCTAGAATATGAACAAGTATCTCAAGGAGATTGCAAAGAAAATAGAGAGGAAGTCCAAATCTCCCTCTGTAAACAAGCCTAGTCCAGATGACCACTAAGCTCCTGCTAATAGGTCTACACGTCTTTGATTCTCTGGCCAAAGCAGCATTAACAGAGCCAAAGATGATCTGAGGTTTTGCACTGAGTGGTTAAGAGAGTGGCAGTCTCATTAGCCAACAGCGAGGAAGCAAAAGCCTAAGATAGCTTATTGACTGTTCCAGGAAGTGATTGCTGTTTTCTGATTCTAAGCACCCACATTAAATTCCCTCTGTTACACTTATCTTAGAAGAGCTCTCCACAGCCTGGCTTTTATTCAATTAGTGTCAACCACCAATGCTTTGTCACTTATTAACTTCTACCATCACAGATGACCTATGACTGCTTGAAGTAAGTCAGTCACTAAGCTTCAGTGACAGAAGAAGGGAAAGAGGAAATCAGGGTAGGATTTTTTTAAAAAGTGTAATGCTGGGTGTGGTGGTGCACACCTGTAATCCCAGCACTCGGGAGGCTGAGGCAGGAGGATTGCTGCAAGTTCAAGGCCCGCCTATGTATAGTGAGTTCAAGGCCAGCATGAACTACAGAAGACCCTGTTCCCCCCCCAAAAAAAGTGTAAAATTCAGAGTAAAGTAGCATCTGAGAACCTGCTATGTGACGGAGCCTGTACTAGAAACAATTAAATATGCATTTCTAGGTTTAGAATATTCAATATATTTGGATGGTTTAGTAATAGCTCATCTGCTTGCTATTCCTAGGTATTGTCTAAAGCAAGGTCTACCATTCCTGAACCTGGTAATATCCTCCTTCTTAAAAGGACAGTTGTAAATTAAAGGGAATGTTTAAGATAAATTTGTACATCATGGAGACCTTATTCATCACATGAAGTAAAATAAGGAATTTTTTTGTGTTGAAAATGATTGCTCCTATATTTATCTATTCTTTACCATCTCTAAAAACCTACTTTCAAATTTAGTAGAAAAGAAAGAACATAAAGAGAAATACTCACCTCGGCTATAGAGCGGACTGCTGCTCAGTGGCGGTGGGACAGCAGGGTTGGGTTTCTGGGCCTTGGGTTGCACTATGATTTGGTATCCTTGCATGAGACGCTGGCAAATAAACTCTTCAAACACCTGCTGGGCTGTCATTTGCACACCTTCCTCATCCCTCCTGAAAAACAAATGACTTTTCACACGAATATGTTTGACCTGGGGCACTGACACTTCAGCTTCCAGAGTGCCATGTTCTCCTTTGCTTCATCTTGGATAACCATTGATGGAAATTCATAAAATTAACAATTTGTAAGCCAACTTTTGGAGAAAGGACTACTTTAAAGAGGTACAAAAAGAAGACAGGTAATAGCCAATGCCCAAATGAGTGATCTTTAAAAAGATCAGATTTAGTGTGTTAAAAATAATTACAATAGAAAATAGGAGAACTATCAATGGGGAGAAATTGTTCATATCAACACAACTTGAAAAAACAAAAAAGCTGGCATGTTGGCACACACCTGTAATACCAGAACTCAGGAGGCTGAGGCAGGAGGATCATAGTGAGCTCAAGGCCAGCCTGCACTATATAGCAAGATCCTGTCTCAAAACAAAACAAAACAAAACAATAGTTCTCACATCATAAAATTTCTCAAATATAAAAAAGAGGCAGGAAGATCATAGGTTCAAGCCCAGCTTGGGCAACTTAATGATTTAGCAAAAGACTCTGTCTCAAAGTAAAAAATATAAAAAGGGCTGGACATGTAGCTCAGTGTGAAGTTCAATCCCCAATATGGCAAAAAGAAAAAAAAGACACAGGTTTGAAAGTTCAGTGTTCTGATACATATGTTTGAAGCACCCAGAACCCTTGAAAACAAAGCTGGAAAGCCTTTTCTCTGACACCAACCTGTCCATATCTGCTTCTGGGAGGAGATCATAGCAGCCCTCTGTGTAGTCATTCTGCAGGCTCTGACGATCAGGGAAGTAGTCGGTGGTGAGAGGGAGGCACGCCGGAGTAGTGAGAGACTTCCAGTCCACTCCAACTGTGCAACAGAAGCCTGGCACTACAGGGGGAGCAGACAGTGTCAGAACTGCCTCGCATAACAGGGGGAAAGGTATGTGTAGTTGCCATGGCAGGTTTAGGACATGGTGGTGGTGAAGGGGAAAGGGAAGAGGGTGGGGAGTTCAAGGTAAAAGGTGATAAAATTTCCAGGATAGGGAGGAAGAAGAGGAAAGGGAGAGGGGAAGGGAGAAAGAGAGAGAAACAGAGTTTGTTAGACAATGCAATGCACATGCTTATCCAATCCCATCATGCAAATGGGATTCACAGCTGATATTTTTCATTTTCTGCTGATCATGAGCTACAGCCGCAATGCCAATGAGGTTACTGCAGGGCAGGTAGGGTTACATGTCAAAGCAAATCAACGCAGGCCAGAGGCTCAGGCTGGAGCCTCTCCTGAGGACTGCAGAGAAGCTGGGTAGCAAAAGAGAAGCTCAGCCTGATTTGGGAGCAAAATAGCACACAGCAGCAAGAAATAAGGAATACTTTCAGAATCGTGAAAATAATCGATCCTAAAGGGTAGGAAGAAAAATCAAGGAAGGATGACTGAGAAAGTTACAAGGCTGGACCTTTAAAGAGACAGTTTGACAATCCAGAAAGAAACTGCAATTAGCTAGCTGGGCGTGTAGGCGCACGCCTATAATTCCAGCACTCGGGAGGCTGAGATAGAAGGATTGTTGCAAGTGTGAGACCAGCTTCAGCTACAAAGTGAGCTCAAGGCCAGCCTGAACTGCATAGCGAGACCCTGTCTCAAAAAAAAGAAACTGCAATTAGCCAAGCAGGCCTCTAACCCTTTGAGTCTGTGTAGAATTATCTGCTTTTCAGTTAAAGTAGGGTTCTCACCTTGGCAGTTACTAACACTTTGAACCAGATCATTCTTTGTTGTGGAGGGTAGTCCTGAGTATTGTCTGATAATGAATGGCATCAATGGACTCTACCACTTGATGCCAGTGGCACCCTCTAGTGAGAACCAGAAAGGAACACAGATATGGCCAGAAAGTCCCCTGGAGAGCAAAATCCTACCAAGCTAATAATCCTACCCAGCTGAATTAAAAAGCAGAAAGACAGCTCTATGGTTTAAATATGGCTTGTTCTCAAAAGTTCATGTACTGGAGATTTGGTCCGCAGTTGGGGGAATACGAGAAGTATGGATTAAGAGGTGGAGCCAGAGGGGAATTATTGTGGACAGTGTCCTCAGTAAGCAATTAGGATAGTTCTTGTGGGATCCTGAAGTGGTTCTTGTAAGATAACTGAGGTAGTTCTTGGTAGACTGGCCCCTCCCTATGCTCTCACCATTCTGTGATCTTCCCCTCCCACATGCCCTGCATCATGATGCCATCTACTACCACGTGGTACAGCCAGGGACGCACTTGCCAGAGAGGGTACCATACTAGGAATTTCAGCCTCCCAAACTGTGAACTAAATAACATTTGATAGTTACTCCATTTCTAGGAGATGAAAAGAGAATAAAGATGTATAATGCACATGTACCACCTCCTCATGATGAAGGTAATCATTATGTATTGCAAACATGTACTAATAAAAAAATTACTCCACTTGAGGAATTATAATTATACTATTATTATATTGATAAAGGAGACCAACACAGGCCATCTATCTCTTTAAGTAAAGATTATTTTAAACCAGGCATGGCGGCACATGCCTGCAATCCCAGCACTCTAGAGGCTAAGACAGGAGGATCGTTGTGAGTTCGAGACCAGCCTAGGCTACAAAGTGAGCTCAAGGCCAGCCTGAACTGCATAGGGAGACCCTGTCTCAAAAAAACAAAAAAAAAAAAAAGAAGATGTAATTTTAATCTTTAAGTAAAGCTCTCTTTAAATGGAGATTATTTTTAAATCTCTGTAAGAGGGAACAAAACTTTGCCTGAGTCCTGAGTGAGATATTCACTCACCTTACATCTGCATAGTGATACTCAGCTTACAACGTGATGTAGGCCCTACTGCCCCCTCAGCCCTCAACACTGCCCTCAAATTTCTTTCATATGGATGAAGACTTGTGTACTAAGCCAAGACAGTGAGAAGATGCCCCACACAGTACTACTGACTTAGATGATTTAACTGGCAACAGGCCTAACTCCATGATCTACATAGGTCTTATAAACTCATTAATATGTCAGAAATTAAAAATACAGCCCAAAATAGTATAAACAATTGCTCCAGTTTCTCAGTGTGGTAAATGAGGTGCTGAGCTTGTTCCTACTTCATGGATAGACTCAAAAGAAGAAAGATTCAATCAAAGCCATAGTGGAGAAGCCAAGAATAGATGCAGGCTGTATCTTTACGTACTTTTAGATCACACTGGTCCTCATCAGTTTCCTAACCTTCAAGATTATAAAAACCTCATAGAAACCTTCTAAGAACACACTAAAATATACAGAAATAAAACGTCTAATCCAAAATGCTATGATGACGCCAGGCGTGGTGGTTTACGTCTATAATCCCAGCACTCAGCAGGAGGACTGCCACAAGTTCAAAGCCAGCACTGGCTAGTGAGGCTAGGCTAGCCTAAATTACATAGTGAGATCCTGTCTCAAAAAAAAAAAGAAAAGAAAGATTCCATGATGAGATCAGCTCCAGATTTTTAGTTTAATGATAATGTGTTGTCGGGGAGGGTGACTGTAGCCTCTTACATAACCTCTGGTCCTGCAAAGAAGGCCTCTGAGGAGGTCTTACGTCAGAACTACTAAACAGATCACAAAACCCAGTGCTGCAATTACTGAGAAATATGATCATCTATCTACTAGTTGAGTCTGATGTAAAATAATCAATCTACCGATCATACTTTGGGGAATATATTCCAAGGATGTGAGCTCAAAAGTTAGGCTTGTATCTAGTGGCCCAACCAAAGCCTCGTGTACCCACAGTTGCGGCTTCTGGAAGGTGACTGGGCATGTGATAGTGGACTAGTCCACTGATGGGTTTACAGCTGGGTGTAATATTGGGAAACGAGGCTGGTGGAAAGAGGTGAGTCACTGTGAGCATGGCCTGGAAGGGTGTACATACACATCCCTCCTGCCTTAACAGCACACTGCTTCTTCTTCCTGCCTGCTATGCCATGAACTCTTTCTCCCCTGCCACGCCCATCTGCCACATCATCTTTCCTAAAGCCAGAAGACTGTGGCCTGCCAACTCTACAAACTGTGAGCTAAAATAAACCTTTCCTTCTTTAATTTATGGTCATCGGGTGTTTTGCCCCAGCAATGAAAAAGTAACTAAGACATGAACTGAAAGAAAAAATAGACCCACAGCACCATTCACTACACCTGCATTACATGATGCCACTAAAAACTGGAAACCATCCAAGTGCTCACCAATAAGAAATAATGATTTAAAAATTAAATACAGTAATGCGTATAGCATTAAATATAGTAATGCATATAGCAACATTAAAAATGACTCACAGGGACCTAAAGAAATAGTGAAGACAAAAAGGCTCAGTGATGTGTATCTATTGGTGACAGGCAAGTAAAAGAAAGTCTATCAAGTGGTAGATTTTGTTCTGCTGTTTTGTTAGTGTCAATTCTTTTTTTAAAGATAGGATCTCACTATGTAATTCAGGCTGGCCTTGAACTCACAGCAATCTTTTTGCCTCAGCCTCCCAAGTGCTGGGACTACAGGCGTGAGCTACCACAGCCGGTTTATTGTGGATATTTAGATAGTCTCTTATTGCACAGCTTTCTGAATAGACAGGGATGATCAAAGTGAATGCAAACTAGCCAAATATTTTCAACTACAGGTGCGTAAAAGGTTCCAGTAACAGCTTTTTAACTCTGACTTTTTTCCCAGAGCCCTCAATAGCATTTAAGGGTTCAGACCAAGTCTAAATGAGCATGACAGTCTTTGGGAAATCTATTTGTGTGTACCCCTGAAATAAATACTGGAACAGGTCATTGGGCAATATCCCTCTCAATCTGCATCAGAGACCACAGTCCTCCTTTACCATTTTGTCTTCCTGTACCCCAGAGATCAGTGGACTCCTACACCGCTCCTTCGAAAGTGCTCCCTCTGTTTCCTCACGCCCTGACTGCCCCACACTCCCCAGCATTCCCCTCCTGCTAGCCACATGGCCTCTCTTACTTGGGTCTGGAGAGGCAGAAACACTGTCCTCTGGAGAATCCTTATTCTGGGTCCTGGGATTCAGACCTATGGAAAGACAAAAACAGCTTATCTGAATGACACTCATTCTGCAAAACAGTTTTGACCCTTCTGGCTGAAAAAGTGCACCATGAAAATTAAAAATAACTCTGGGCTGAGTATTTCAAATAGCACAAAGGATTAATCAAAGGAAAAATGAGCAACCTAAAATTTGAGAATGAGCCAAGAATTTTGCACTGTGTTTTATCAATACCACTCTTTGCCTGATGAGACCTTCCTGATGAGACCTAACAATTAACAAAGCAATTGGTACTTATTTTTAAGAAAATGGACATATTTCAAAGTCAGTTCAACTAATTAGGGCAGTCTTTAGCAAATGTAAAATGACCTGTTTAAATCTGGCCTACTCATCATTCATCCTTATCTTATGGAATTCTTCATCACCAAATCATGACTTTCTAGGATATAACATAAGCTATTAAAACTCACTACTTTGACAGACTAACAATGATTCTATCTATAGCCAAGCTGAAACCAAAAAGACATTTTCTGAAATTCAATGTATTGACCACAAAGTAATAGAACTAATTTTAAAATATGTACTTTGAAAGTGACTTTACATGTCACTTTCAAACATATTTTACCACAAAATTATACCATAAAAAAGAACTAGAAAGTTCCTCAGCAAATGTCAACAGTGGCTATTTCCAAGAAGAAAGCTGAAAGAGAAGGCAGGAGGTTAAATAAAACGTCTGCTTTTTCTGTGTCATTAGAATTATTTATAATAAATATTTGTGAGTTCCTTGGGTCAGGGATATAGCTCAGTGGCACAAGCGCCTTCCTAGCAAGCATGAGGTCCTGAGTTCGATTCCCAGTATAAATAAATAAATAAATAAATAAATTCTTTGTGAAAGCTTTAAAAAACAAGTTTTGACCTTGGGGAAAGTATTGTAAATCACATGGGATTTGTATCCAGAATATATAGAAAACTCTCAAAACTCAAGGGCAGGAAAACAAACAACCTAATGAGTAAAGTGGTAAAAGATTTGAACAGATACTCCATCAAATAACATATAGAGAAGGTGAATAAGCATATAAAAAGATGCCCAATATCATTAGTCATTAGGGAAACAGCAAATTAAAACACAGTGAGATACCTCTATATACCTATTTGATTAAAATAACTCATCATATCAAGTGATGACAAGAATGTGGGACACCTAAAATCTTCACACATTGCTGGCAGTGGTGTTAAACGGTATACCACTTTGGAAAACAGTTTTAACATATATTTACCATTTGACCTAGCAATCCCACTCCTACAATTTTACATGGCAGAAATAAAAACATGTTAAACAAACACTGTGTTTATATGAAACTATGTCAATGATTATAGCAGCTTCACTCATACTTGTCAAAATTTGGGAACATTTCAAATATCTTTCAACTAGTGAAGGGATAAAAGAACTGCAATACATGCCATACAATGGGATACTACAAGATTAAAGATAATGAACTACTGATGGATGAAACAGTTTGAGTGAATCTCAAATGCATTTTGCTCAGTGAAAGCAGCCAGAAATAAAGTGCTTTACAACAGACCAGGGATGGCAAACCTTCAGAGATGAGTGCCCAAACTGCGACCTAAAATCCGTATCATCAAGTGCCAACGCTGCAATTAAACCCGAATACTGATGTTTTAGTTTAGAAAAAAAATAATTCTCATATTAACATCTTTTGTCTTAATAACATGCGTGCCATCACTTCACTACCACTGCAGTATACAATTCTGCGTGGGTGACATGCTGGGAAAAGTAAAACTACAGAGACAGAGATTAGGTTAGTGGTTGCTAGGAGATGCGGAAGAGCTGGATACAAGGAGAGCAGGAAGGAATTCTGGGGTGTGATGGAAATGCTCTGTATCTCGATGTATTTGTCGGTAGGAAAATGACTGAGTTTGTCAACCTCACTGAACTGTATACTAAAAGAAGTGAATTTTACTGTAAGTAAATTTAAACATAAATTTTAAATTTTATTTTTATTTATTCATTTGGCAGTACTGGGGATTGAATCCAAGAAGTGCTAAGCTATATTCCCACCCCTTTTTTGAGACCGGGACTCACTAAATTGTCCAGGTTGGCCTCAAACTTACATTTCTCCTGTCTCAGACTCCCAAGTCAATAGCATTAAAGGCATGTACCACCAAGCCTGGATATTTCTTTATTTAAAAAGATAGTATCACCAGGGATATAGCTCAGTGGCACAGTGCCTGCCTGGCAAGCATGAGGTCATGAGCTCCATTCCCAGTACAAACAAAAAAAAAAAAAAATAGAAAAGAAAAAATAGTATCACTTGTCCAAAATAATTTTAGAATTTTTTATAACTTTTTTTGAACTACCTGCAGCACACTTCCAAAAATCACTATATCTCTAACCCAGAAGTCCAAACTCTAAAATGCTCTAAATCTAAAACTTTCTGAGTCCTAACATGACACCCCAAAATTTTTGGATTCTGGATTTCAGATACTCAGAGTAAGGCTGTTCAATCAGTAAAGTTTCTGCAAATATTTCAGAATCTAAACAGCGCTAAATTTTGAAATACTTCTGGTTCCAATAATTTCAGATAAGGGATACACAATCAGTACCATACTAGAAGGTACAATTTTATAAGTGTGACAAATATAGTATTTCATTTTACTTAAACCCATACCATGAAGTCAGTATATAATCGGTATTAACCTTTTTCTACAGATAAAAAAATGAGGCTCAGCAAGATTAAGTAACTTACAGAAGACCACAGAGTTAGTAGGTAGAACCCGCATTAGATTCTTTCTACTCAGTTTTACAGATGCTCTATGTCTTGATTATCCATCTGGGGCACCAGTTCTTAGTTGTAAAATGTTATCCGCACTTTGACTACAGCCAAAAGCCATTTGAAGCTAAATTTTCTGAAGCAAACTATCTCAATTAACAACTTTCATTTTCATGCAAACAAAACATAAGTAATAACACCAGGCGTGGTGGCGCATGTGTGTAACCCCAGCACTCCAGCACTCTGGAAGTGGAGGCAGGAGGATTGTCACAAGTTTGAGGCCAACCTGGACTCCACAGTGAGTTCAATGCCAGCCTGAACTACATTGCAAGAGCCTGTCTCAAAAAACCAGAAATAAAAAAGCAGTAAGGGTTTTGTTTGTTTGGCCTGAGAACTTGAGAACGGCTATGTAGGCAATTATAAAATTGGCATTCCAAAGACATATTCAGTAACAGAATTATTAAATATATCACCACAAGATCACTTAGGAAAAAACCCCACCCTAATCAAACTTGTTTCACAAGTCAAGTAAAATCTTTACACTAACAAACAGTTCCACTGGGGCTGGAGGCCGAGTGGTGGGTGCTTCCCTAGCACGCACGAGGTCCTGGGTTCCAGCCCCAGTATCACAAATAAGTAAAAAAAGACACAGTTCAGCTTATCAGACAGCTTTGGTTTCTTAGGTCAAAAGCTGACCTATATCATTTCTAATGGACAATATATTGTCTCTAATGGACATACATATTTTATGGAAAAAGCAATTTAAAGAAATAACTACTTTAAGGGCCTCTAGGAAGCTATTTAAGACCATTTCCTTGCAGTCTAAGCCTAATACACCGCTTCTCAAACTGGCTCTACCTTTACGTCTTTATTTACTTTGTATACAAAGAACCCCAACAAACTAAAAAGTTGACATCAGGTGGCTCCACACAACTCAACATTAAGAGCCTCACTATCAAAGCTTAAAGCCAAACACACAAGTGGGAAGCTAGTGCCAAGAAGTCATCCCACTTCTCTGTTTTGACATCTGTACAGAGGTGAGAGGTGTGAATATGTTGTGATGATAAGGTCATCAAGGGTACTTGGCATGGAACCTCAGGAGCAGGTCCCAGGCCCACATCTAGAAATTAGTACTTACAACAAGTCGTTTCTCTGCTCTGGATACAGAGATGGACCTTACAAATAAACCTGACCTGGCCTAGATGAATGACTCAGAGGCCCTTTCTTCCAGCCTCAGCAGGCTATGATCTACTTTACTTTAGCTAGCAGGCCAGACTTGCCGCATGCACCAAATACTCAACACAAAACACCAAAACTGTGAGTCCGGATACAAGTGGAGAGAAAACATGACATCCGTCTACTTCCTTTTTCAAAATTACCTACTTCTAATGAATGGAATGCTACTGACAAGTCTCCTAAGCTGGTATCTAAAGAAACAGAAAGACAAAAAGCTAGGAGAGTATCTCAGTGACAGACACATGCATGGCATTGTGTGAGGCCCTGGCTTCAGTTCTCTGCACCAAAAAATAAAGTGACAGATAATAAATGTGCTCAATCTGCCTGGTTCCCACTGGGCAGCAGAATGTAAAATAAGTGAAGGATAGAGCTATAGGCCCACCCTCCACCCCAAATAATGCTCAAAATGAAATTCTAGAGCCAGGAGGGAAACCCACAGAGATACTACTCCTGTGAACCATGACTCACATATCACATGAATCATGCCCAAACACAAGAGAAAATCTGAGTCACGGTTGAGTACCTGCAAATGGTACAAACTGTCAAGCCCTGGGGAAGTGAAGGGGAAGTGAAGGTAGTATCACAGATGAGGTTTTCTTGTATCTTTCCTGTTTATTTTTTTCTTCATTTTTTAAATAAGTAAAATGCTAACTACTTCTGTTTTAGACTCCACTTCACTCCATTCTGTGTAGCAATGTTTCCCAAAAGAAACCAACCTACTTTTGATCCTTGTAACAACTCTGTGGGGCTGGAGGGTGGATGAGGATCTTTGTGCCCATTCACCAATGATAACCTGAAATTGCGGGTGGGTGTGGCTCAGCGGTAGAGCACTTCCCTAGCATGCGTGAAGCCTTGGAATCCACCCCCAGCTTGGAAGGCAGGCAGGTGGGCAGGCAGGCAGGAAGAGAAAGAAAGAAAGGAAGGGTGGGAGTGAGGGAGTGAGGCAAAGAAGGAGAAAAGGAAGGAGGGAGGGACGGAGGGAGGGAGGCAAGGAAGGAGGG